GATTTTTTCTTTAAAGCAATTATTCTGGAAAATACTGGAATAAAGGAAAAAGACATTTCGCCAGAAGTTTTACTCACTCGAAAAAACAGTCGCTGATCGTGCTGGACACTGTCATTATCCTAACAATCCAACAAAAACATGGTATGATCTCACTGGATGTCATGGAAAGTAATGACCCAAATCCTTTTGGCTCTGCAATTTGTAGAGGCGTTTGAAGAAACTATATATAGGTTGTCCATATTTCAGGAGGCTCGTATACAGAATTCCCTACATGCATACAGAGGGAACAAAAACTACCTTCAGGAGCACAGGGATCACACAGAGAATACATCGCTGTGGGCTAGTACTGTAGTTATTCCTAGAATTTCATCATCGGGCACTGCTGAATACTTATTACAGATCTACTCCTCTCCGAGGTCCTCGAAGTTTAACAACAGTGAAACCATAAAAAAAAAGACAAAGTTTGATTTGCTGTAGTTAAGTATGCCTTGTAACAGGCTGAGGACATTGTGTCCAGACAGCAAATGAAACTTGACATGATTTTTACATTCTCGATCCCTCCATCATGATTTATATGAGAGTGAGTGAGTGAGTGAGTTTAGTTTTACGCCGCACTCAGCAATATTCCAGCTATATGGCGGCGGTCTGTAAATAATCAAGTCTGGACCAGACAATCCTGTGATCAACAGCATGTACACCGATCTACGCAATTGGGATACGATATGTCGTGTCAACCAAGTCAGCGAGCCTGACCACCTGATCCCATTCGTCGCCTCTTACGACAAGCATGGGTTACTGAAGATCAATATTCTAACCCAGACCTTCAAGGGTCGACTGTTATGAGACCTTTAGGGGGGAATGTACGGTGGCCATGCATATATTTCATGAATTTTATGACATTACAGTATATCAACATAACTAGCAACTCATCAGGAAGTGTGGACAGTGACTAAGATGGCAACTTTCAAAGTTGTTTCTTCAAACGACCAATCTACAGTCTAGATGGTGGATGATGAATTCCTAGAGTTTATGACCATGACAAAAATAACTTTCCGTCGGCACCTGCAGTCATTCATCAGAATTATCTGAGAGATTAAGACCAACCATTTCTTTCCGATTCACAACATTCTTTTCCATAACATCCATCATGTCAAGCGACAAATGTATTTCGTGTACGCAAAACTTGAAGCCACATTGTTTGTTTACAGGATCTGAATATCTAGAATATCAGGAATATCTAGAATAAAAAACCAGTTGTCCCATCAGCATTACTTGAAACAATACACCAGCATGATTGCAGACTCTGGTTTCACACAACTATCATCAGCACTACAACTGCATTGTGACCCCAGATATTGCCGGAAATGACACACCAAGGCAAGTACTTGGTCCTTTAGGAAGTGGTAAGAACAGGGCATTATTGCAATGAGTATGGCACAGTTATCAGATACAATACGGTACTCCATCCTTGTGACTGACTAGGCTTCAAAAAGGAGACAATGGAAACATTTCTTACTGGTATTAACAATTAACTTTATCTGCATCGATGGGGGCTTGTTTATTATCTTAACTCATATAATTGGTAGCTGATTACCTTGATTGTTTTTATACAAAAACATTTTCCTAAAAACTGAGTGAAAGCATATGTTCAGGTTTAGACATGTTTTGTCTTCTAATAATCATGATATGTCCTTGAATCAAAACCTGTTCTCTTCAAAACAAATACTAATGATGAAGGAGGAACTCCAGAAATAATTTAGTCTGTACTACTGAGTCTATTGAATAAAAACTAGGACTGTGTTAATTTAGGGACAGGCAAACATATTTAAGGCAGATCAGGATTTGTCTTAGGTAATAGAATTCCAGTGAGATGGATGGAAGTCTGTTCCGTAAAAATCATTTTCATTTCTAAATGGTAAAAGAATATAAGCACAATTAAAGTGACTGCAACAACCAATACCCTTTCAGATAAAATACTCAGAGCCAAGGACATGTAGCTCAACATTGACACAATGGATTTCAAAACACCTGGCAAGCAATACTGAAACATAAACAGAGACATGTTCCTACACTGTTTACCAACACCCAATTAATAAAAGCATAAACATAGGTATATAAACATCCACCCTTGTCAAATGTACAGCATGCAGGATAATACAACTGTATACAATTGTACTTATACATAATCCCCTGCATGTGGCTGTGTTGGCCCCACCAGCAACAAAGGGAGATAACTCTTGATCGTGTTGGCCCCATCACAACAAAGGGAGATAACTCCACAACATTCACTTCTACTGGAACAAGCTAGACTAAACACTAGTTTCATACATAACATGGAGGTAGTGAGTGTGCTTCCAAATAACTACAATAATTTAACACATTGTTTGGTCAGCAAAGAATAAAAATCAGGAATTCTGAGAAATATACACTTAAACAAAGCTCACGTTTCTTAATGGTAAAGCATATTTTAACTCATTCATGATCATTTAAGATAGTGGTGGTCCTGGGGATCAACCAACAACATGAATATACACACCATGGTCCCATGTCCCTATCAAAAAACACGTCATTATTCCTGATCACCAACACGTTGTGAGTAAACACTAACACCACCTTATTTCACATTCATGGTAGGGATATATGTTGACCATGTCAGATGCCATATTCAGCAGTAAATAGCAGTATAATTTCTCCAATTTCAAACCATGGCATAAATTAATACATGATATGGATTTTCAGAGACTTACTAACACCCAATAAACAGAGGGGTTTGTTTTGAATTATTGCATTGAATGTAATGTTTAAACAGGATTGAAAGTTCAGACTGTAAGTACTGAAGAAAACCAATTTTGAACATGGTAGGTAAGTAACGTTTTTTTCGAAGTTGCCTGCAAACTGGCCCTCGCTTTGATATCCTACATAAACCCCTGTAATGTCCAAAATGACATTAAAGATGAAATATTTAATACTGACTTTAAAGAATATAATTCTAGCATTTTACCAGCACTGTAAAATATTTTACATCTCTAGGGATGGATCAAACAGCTGATTTCAGCTGAACTGCAAGGAGGGATGTGACAATTAATGGGCAGTTCTTGCTTAGCTTCCGAAACATCTTGTGACACAAGTTAGACATGACACACAGATCAGTTTGGACTGAATGGAGTTGAACTTTGCAACTCGAACTACGTTACTTTAAAAAGCACCTGTTTTCCTACATCAGACCATTACCCCAAAACAGTATGGATGTATCAAGATGCATGGATATCATACTACCCCTGGTCCCAACTCTACATCAGTAGTCATCCCCCATCTTTACATACTCATGGCCAGGGGTTAAATGTATTCTTCATTACATGGCCTATGAAAATACAAATGGACATTGCAAAATGTTCAAACCAACATTTAGTGTAAAATAAGAAGAAAACAGGCGAGATGTCACAAGTCTGTGACAGAATTGCAATTGTACAAAGAGGATTTTTGGCATATGTCAAATAGCAACATCCTTTTCCTTAACAATCTATGGCAAGAAAGTACTGGACATTTTAGTTCATGCTCCAGAAAAACCATGCCTCTGTTCCAATCCAAATAATGGCATGTAAAATAAAGAATTTCAGCAACCATTTCCAGCTGCCTTGCTATGTGGGACATGACCTCCCCTAGCCATCTTCAAACAAGCTTGGAATGAAAATTTTCGGAAATCAATTTCGATTTTAGATTCCTAAATTCACAAAAATAGGATTTTGAAGAAAAGTGACATGATGTCTGTCACATGAGGTATTGGCCTTCTTTTCTGAGGAACTTTATCAATGCTTCTGTGCAATTTTCAATGTGTTCCAACTGATATTCAATTTCAGAGATTAACCATTTCAAGGGTATCATTATTTTTGAAGCGTTTCAGGTCCCGATGTACATTTTACACACTCTCTGCACATAGCAACTGGGCCATCTTTGCTCCAGAGAAATAATTATGGTTTTAATTTATTCCATTTTGCAAAAGCAGTCGCTTTGAATATTCATAAAACAAGTTCTAACACAAACCTGCCCTGCCGTGGTCCCCCCGTCTTACATGAATTATCTACAGATAAAGTCATACTGACAATGGCCTGCCGTGTTTTGCAGGCAAAATGACACATCATGGTCTTATGTACGTTATGTAAGTTTGACATGATATTTCCGTGTATATTTTCACACCAAAAAACAGCAGAAAAACACATCAGAAAACATCAGTCCACTGATAAATAAGTTTTGATTTCACACTTACAGGAAAACGTAAAAAGGCTTTTGATATGGAAATTAAGTACACGGTAAACAAAGTCGAATAATTCTAAAACGTTTTAAGTGACTTTGCCTCTTGGTAACAAACCATGACAGTGCAAAAATATTTAGTTCATTGATTATTTACAATGACTTTAGCATGGGCGGCACAGAGTGAGGCAGGAAATAGCAGCATAGGTTGTAGCATGCGTAATGAGGAGTTTGGTTCAACACCTGTCTCCCACTACCTCAACAAATACATTACACGCAGTGTGGAGATTTGTCTTGCTATTAGTAGATCAGCCAGAATGGTAGATTATATATTCTGTAGTCTGCAAAGTCATCAGTTACCATGGTTACTATGGTAAAAGCTGCAGTCTATGGGGAAATGCCTGAACTTCACTAGGTTCTGACAATAGGACTAGAGGTATTTTCTACCTGATTACTGGACTTGACGATAAAAAATCCTCAGGTTTAAAAACCCAACCCAGTTATATTTAAAAATGAGAAACAAATTGTTGCTCTCAACATTTTTTTCTGAACTTTAGATATTTAATGCCTGTGACAATGTGTTACCCTGGCTCAGAATTTCACTTTTTCTGAGGGAGATGATTAGATACTTCCAAGCACTTTTATCATTAACATGCAGATCCTGAGAGGCTGTGTTTCCTACACCTGTCAACCCATTTCCTGCCTCCCTCTGCTAGGTGCAATGAACAACAGTGTGATGAGTAATGACACAATCAGGACTTGAGTGAGTGGCTAGATTTCAGCTTCAGTCTCTTTGCTGCAGCCATGACTGAGCGAACCTGCAGATCGATTTCATAAAATGGACTGAAGTCTTCCACCCCGTGGTGTTCTAGGAACTGTCGGAGGACCCGACACGCCTCTAATGCTTCACTGGCACTTGGAACAGCATCTGATGTCGGCGTTGTCACCTCATGATGCCTCTTCAAACTCTTCTCCACACCGTTGGACAGACGAGTCTGAGTGACTTCTTGAAGGAGACTGGCCCTGATGGAAGGTTTAGAATCAGTGTCAAGTTTTATTGCTTGTGCTGGTCTTGCATATAGTGTTCGATCGGAGTCGGCAAGACTAGCAATTAGAGACTGAGAAGCTGCCTGGTTTGGATGCTCATATTCATTCCACGATAAAATAGGAAGATTGTCCATATACTCTGGCTCCTCAAAGCATGGAAGCTGAGAATCTATATCAACATAGGCGGAGAACTGTTCCTCTGTCATATTCTCCGGTGCTGTGACGTATTCCACCCCCGCAGGGTCAACTTCCTCCGACGTAAACATAGCCATATTGAAACACGTGACGATGGTGGAGGTGGTTACCTTCCTCCAAGCATCACCTATCAGACCAACTGCTGCTGTCATATTGAAGTTATGAAAGAAGTTCTCACTGGTCGTGGTGTTGATGTTGCCCTGGAGGAGACCGAATACGGTCAAGAGTTCCTTGCGGTAGTGACACTTGAAGTTTCGGACAATGCCTAGACTTAGAGGATGAAGCTGGAACACTTGAGATGCAGGTGTGTAGTACCACTTGATGTTGTTGAGAGGAAAGTCTATAGCATGCACCACACACCTCTCCAACACCAAACATATAGTTCTATTTTCCCTTTCCAGAGTCTTGTCAAGGTCCATCAGCCACCTTGTAAACAGGTGACTGGTCATGAGGGCATTGTCGCTGTTCACGATACACGGTGGCATGACGCTTTTCTCATACTCCTTCCTCACACCGATGATGTAGGGGACCATCCTGTCCTTCCCCGACATGTTGCAGCAGAGGAGGACGGTCATTCTCGGGTTGGAGGAGTCTGTGGAGTCAGACTGGGGCAGGGTCTTGTAGTACAGCAGCGTTTCCTTGCAGCAGTATATATCGTCCGGGTGGAACTCTTTTAGGATTCCAGGCAGCATCTGATTCACCCAGTCAGCGTCAGATTCACAGTTCACTTCGCTCCTCCTTAAGCCAATCTTGTGACGTTCCTTCCACCTCTGTAACCAGTCGGTGGTCGGGATGAAATCCCGCGCATCCAGCTTGACGGCAAGTTCATTGGCTTTGTCCATCAAAATGGGTCCACTCAGGGGAGCAGAACTGGCTTGAGTTTGTCCGTACCATCGAAACAAGGCTGTTTCTACATCCACATTCTTTCCATCTCGGTTTCGCTTCCGGTCAGAATTGTCACTCTGCAAGTACCTTGCCATGATGAGATCTCTGTTCTTGCCAATCCTGGATATCTGAGACTGGGACACACCAAACTCTGCCGCCAAAGAAGTCTGGGACTTTTTCTGACTCAGTGCTTCCAGAACCCGAACCTTATCGGCTAAAGTTAAATCTTTTCTCTTCTGCATATTCATTTTTAAATATTAAATGTATGTAAAAAGAACTTTCAAATCAGGAATGACAAAAATCAACTGTCTGTATGAAATATTTAATTTGCTAATTCATTATTAGTTTGGCTGTAGCGAAAAAGATCAGACTTCATAAAGTGAAGACTTCGTAGCTCTGGAAGTTTGCTAAAACTGTTTTTTCCTCATACTATATGGCGGGAACCACCGAATTGTTTTAGAGAATGAAAAGCTAATGCAGATCACTCAAAGTTAAAGGTACTCATGAAATTGTGGGTTGAAGTCAAGCTCAAGCAGTGGACATAATGAAAGGGAATGACTAGCCAGAGCCAGATCCATGGACAGATTAGAAGAAGCTATTGGCGATGAAATATCTGACAATCAGGTAAAGATATCCAGCAGAAGTCATGAGGTCAGAGAAGTTCAGGAACTGATGCTTAGTTTTGTTCTTGTCGCTTTGCCCATTGCTCTGGTGTCAAAGTTTTCATTTGGAAGGCATGAATGGTTTTCATTTCTTCAGCAATTACTGTATTCACAAGTCTGGAAAAGACAAACAAAAATGGTATTACATTTATTAGTATCAGATCAAGAGAGTGAGTGAGTGAGTAAGGTTTTAAGCTTCTTATAGCAATATTCCACCTATATCATGGTAGGGACACCTGAAATAGGCTTCACACATTTTAATCATGTGGGGAATTGAACTCAGGTCTTCGGCGTGACAAGCGAACGCTTTATCCACTAGGCTACCCCACCTACACCAGATCAAGAGAGGCTACGCTGGATGACGGAGAGCTATATAACCTGCATCCTTGCATAAGACAAAAATGATTAATCACTGTTACCCAATTCATGTTCAGTGGCTTGTGTACAAATGGGCATTGAAAATTTCAATTGTACATCAATATTCTCTTTGATAACCAACCGTATCTTTATCATCTTGCACACAGACATAATTCATAATGAAGGTAAAACAACTTGTGTATTGTTAAGTAGATATACACTTCCCATCAAAAGTTCAGACACACTAGTGTAAATATAGCCACTTACTTCAGGCAACTGTTCTAAAGATCATTGTCATGAGTTCAATTCGTGTAACTGTTCTAAAGATCATTGTCATGAGTTCAATAAGTGATAAAAATCAGTGAAAATTGGCGAATTGATAACAAAACTTTACACCAAAGCGCAGCTGTTCACATGCACGATATTTGCACATGCGTTTGAGCAATTTGATGCATGATCCTTGCGCAGTTCATCTGCATAAGGTTTGCAATTGCAGTTGGTTCCCCCAAGTTAGTGGAGAAATCAATCTCTGATGTAACCACATAACATATAGTGAGTCTAAACTTTTGATGGGAAGTATATATACTGAGTCTATGCAAAGTGGTACACACTCGGGGCAGCTCACAACCTGATGACATTATAGATAACCTGAAAAAACATTATCTTCTAACATGCCCACTCACTGGGCAAACACACCCCTGGGAGTACAATGGTTCTACTACCCAAAGAAAACTATCAACACCCCATATAAATAATGACACAGTAAACAGTCAATGGCTAAACATATTATTTGGAGAATTTATTTGCCATGTACATGATGTACATTATATTTACTAGTTTAAGATTCTTAATGACTAAAAAGATAGAACAATATTAATTTCACTCAGATTTGGAGAGAAATTGGGAGAAAAATGAACATTTATAAGTGGGCCTAATCACGCCAATGGAGTGAAAGGTCTGTCTCACCTGTGTCGCTGAAGGAGAGGTTTTCCCTCAAATTGTGGTGAGACAATGAGAGCCTGGAACTTAGCGCCGCACCCATCTGATTCATCCACCACATCCTGAAAAGACAAAAATGTCCGGTAAGGACCAGTTTGAAAACTCTTGATTCCTAACGTTCTGACATACCCCCTCTACCTAAAACTTAATATATGTAATCCTCATACACATACTGTCTTGGAGATAGACAAACAATATTTCAGGGCTTTGATTCCTCCACCCCTATACTAAGGAATTCAGAGTTTTATCTGACATCAAATTATAGAATTGGTTTATTAGAGGTACAATACATCCATGCACCTTTGCATTGAGAGTTTCCACCTGACAATAGGATCACTGATGATACAAAATGTTTTTTGCAGTTACGATAGATGATACACTTGCTAAAAATAATTTACTAGCTCCTCTTTCAATCACCCCCAGTGTTTTTGTCGATGAGATATTGAAAAATGTTTTGCAATTTCCGACATGTTCACTACTATAAGAAGTTGACATGAACAAGTATCTAGACAGCTTTTCATTTAAACCTGCTATAAAAAAATAAAAAAATTCAAAGGTTTCCAAATGTTCTGACATAAATATTGTGATATAAATACAAGTGACTGACATTTTGTGATAAGTTTCGTTGCTGTATTGTTTACCCATAAGACACTCATCATCATGGAAACATATTTACCATAAACTCATCCTTTATATCACAGCTCCGGATGAGTAGTGTATTTGTGTAAATAAACCACCTACACCACCATAACAATGTTACGCAGACCAAAACTGTTTACACTACACCAGTCAGTGTCATCCTCTACTACACTAATGAATTTCACACACGCTTTGTCATGACATCTGCAATATTGTTGTGTGGATATTTAGACAACAAGCAAAAAACAACAGGGATAGCTAATTAGGACCTCAGGTTTGGGAACCCATATTTACCATCATTGGTACACTGTGGTTGTGTTTCCTCAGAGAAATGTGTGGTTTCAGTGACTTCTTAATTAATACTGACAACACAGTTTCCTGGACGGTTTGGCAATAGTGAAAGCTTATATGTCGTGTATGTTATGACAGAGAGCCTTGACAGTAGCCGATATCGATCGTTGTCATTTTGAACATGTAATAAATGTTCTTGCGTCGTGTGTTGTATTTTCTAGTATGCTTTTTTCCGTGAGAAATTAATTTCCAAATAAGCGTAAAATTCTGATTGTCGAAATAACAGTTAGAAGCATCGTAGGTAGGGCTGACACGTGCGAGTCTAATGAACGCCAATGACTCGCTGGTGACAGGTGCCCGTTCAAAGCTATAGGTTTTGCCGCTAGGTTTCGTTACTGTCACTTGTTTGGTGAAAAAACGGCATTAAGTTAATTGATACACCTACCAAATGCGTCGTTGCAAGTTCTTTCTTGAGCTTTTCTTCAACGACCTGTTGAATATTAGACATCTGATCTGAATTAATTGAAAATTCAAAAGAAAAATTATTGAAAGTTTACTTTGTAAAAAGCTAACAATGGCTGTTAATCAGTTTATACAAAGTTGGGAATTACGAAGCTTGTCAAATCCATATTCGGCATTAAAAGAGTGAACAAAACATGCTTTTCTTGTACTGATACAATATCAGTTTCGCTTTAATTGTAATTATATCCCACTAGAAATAGTAATTATCTGTGATAAAAACAATTTCATAATAGTGTTAATTCATTATCCGTATTAAATATGGAATAGCACTTTTAAAGAAACCATTACGTCACATCCCTTTACCTATCTGTTAAAATGCGGACAAATATATTTATGAAACGTACGTAAAATAACCAAACTTATCGCCCGAACCACAGAATGCCCATCTTCGACATTTTGTCTTTCCTCCATTGTAACATACAAAATTCACTGGGTTTTTTCTTACATATGTTTGGCCAGTTCACTTCAACATATAAACTACACATTGTAAATGTTTTGGGGCTGTGTATTGTAATGTTTTGTGAAATTTGTAATAAAATCTGCGTGCATGAGACGTAGATAGATGATCGAATTAATTCACTTAAAAGGAATGAAAATTCTAATTAATTTCCTATTTAATGCATGATTCTACACTGCACGGAATATATAAGCATTCACCCGGTTAACGTGATCCGGTTTTCATTTCCCCACATGAGTGAACACCAGCGAGTTCGTATCCAAGCACGCCACGGGTTTCATTTCATAGATGTGCGCGGATAATCAGGCAATTTCGCGTTAAGCTGACAGTATTTGCTCACGGACTGTCATAACTGGAGGTGACTTTGTGCGTCGTGAACGCAATAGACGTGTTTCTCGTTGAATTTTAGTTGAAAATCTCGTTTGGTATCGATCACACTGATCGAACTACCACCAAATCGGCCAGTGACCCGGTGACACACATACCCGTTGTTTTGGAGTTTTGTTTTTGTTCAGTCGCACTGAGGTGAAATATAAAGCTGTCATCACTGTCATCGTAAAGGGCTCCTTTAGTGGCAATGTGATCAGGTCAAGATATGACCTATAGCTTTCACAAGAAATTGCAGGTCCTGTTGCCAACTGCGCAACTTGGAATTTCCGGATTGTTGATATATTGCCAAATACCCGACAGTGACCTGGTAATCAATAATACAGTCCATGTACAAGAAGGTAAGTCAAGTAGTGTATATTAGTTGTCTCATCACTGCACCTTAGGCAAAATTGTCTATTATAAAGATTGTCATGCATGTAAATTTCAATTCTATTTTTTTTAAATATATTTTGCATATCAAACTGTTCAAGGCAGCTGTGTACACTTGTGGAGAAGGGGTGGTTTTCATTAAGTGAAAAACAGATAAATAGAACACATAGATTTACATGTATTTTAATGATCACTGTGGCTTATTTGTTACAAAATTTGGACTAATAGATAAAACTTAAGAATAATATAGTACTGGCTGCCGAATAATTATCGCCATATTTTAGGGGTATTTACAAAATTACTCCATCGTTCGTTAAATTAATGAAACAGAAATAATTATGATACTTAATTAGCTATTCACTGATGTAGCCAGCCCGTTCACTGGCGTCGATCATGTTTTTATATAACGAGGCGGAAGGGAATCAGGGCAGTATAAATATGTCTTTTCTCACAACTAACTGTAAGTGTAACAGTTATCGCCATTTCAGAATTTCTCATGTCATTCATGAAATAATTATATTTATATCATAAAGTAACCTTGAATAATTGAATGTGTGCCTAGTTGAGTGTTTGTTTTACTGTTAATTGATAGGGAATGAAACAATTAATGACTTGTGAACTTGAATTTGCTATTATATAGGTCGTGTCACATCCCCCCAACTAGTTTAAAATGATTATAGGGTTCATAACTTTATCTTTAATTTTTCTCTTATGTTACTTATCGTGTACAATTTTCTTTTTCTATCCTTTATTGTTGTCAAATACCGTGGGAAAAATACCAGAATTGTAATTGACCGGAACTGTGCACAGGTGATACTGATGTATTGGCGATAACTGTTACGCGGTGATAACTGTTCAGCAGCTAGTACTGCCTTTCAAAGCTGTTATACATATACGTTATTTAACACAGGAAAGTAGTAACAGATAAGAGCATTCAGGAATAATGCTATGGTATTTCATATATGTGCTGTATTCTGAGATATGTTAGGTAAAAATCCAAAATGTGGAACTGTGTCCACACTTGACACTTAATATTTTAGAAGTAGTGTTTCTTTAGGCAAGAGACTGTGTTGGAAATATACCTTTGTTCAAGATAGATATTTTACCTTCCAATCAAACAAGAAACATACATTTTATTGCTGTTTGGCCTTCTGAGCATATTTCATAAAATATTACACACTATAATATTGGTTTTTGTCTGTCTTGGTTTAAGAAGAGCATATATATTGTTGAGAATGAGTTTAGTTTTACGTCGCTTTCAGCAATATTCCAGCAATATCAAGGCGGGGACACCAGAAATGGGCTTCACACATAGTACCCATGTGGGGAATTAACCCAGGTATTCAGCGTGACGAGCGAACACTTTGACCACTAGGCTACCCGACCGCCCTGTTAAGAAATGGAAAGGTGGAAATTAACTATCACAGTTCAGCACAAGATTCCTTACCAGAGCTATCAGCTAGTGATAGCGTTACCTGCCCATTTCATGAGTTTAGTGGACAAGGAAAATGAAATACACTTTTCTTTTTTCTGCAGGAAAACCTGTCAAAGTGACTTATTTTCAGGTATCAGTGCAGCACTAAGGGAACCTGGTAGGAACCTGAATGAGTGTTACTGTTACCAGTGTTGATTTAACATTGATAAGACTGTGAAACGTAGTGTTCAATTATTGAAATGAGGAAATAGCAATTCAAATAGTTGGAAATCTCCATTATGGGGTAATGTCAATCACAGGTAAACTGTAGTGCAAATATTGGTTGAGCAACAAAGGGAAAAATGACCTCTTCCTATATGTGAGCAAATAAGGAAGACCGGTCATTTTCTCTCTGTTGCGCAACCCTATTTGGGATACAGTTTGCCTGTGTGTCAGTTGAAAGAGTTTGGAAAAGTTCATTCAAAATTGTTGGTATTCACTGACTGAATTCACTGTGTGAAAGACCTGTTGAAAAGGAATGGAAATATATGAAATACCCCAAAATAACTTGAAATGAGCTTTCTTTAGAGCGTGTAAATACTCATTGACTGAGACAAATGGAGCTGCTATAGATGCTCGCCACTCTTTTCATTCAAGGATCCAGTAGCTATAGAATTGGGGGTAACCTACCTTAACCTCAACACAACTAACCCATGTATGTATATAATTATATGTAATATGTAAGAATGTGTTATGTAATGTATGTACATAAAAACTTTTTTCATGATAATCAGTAACATTTTTTTAAGATGTATCTGGTTTCTAAGATGCTATTGAGTGGCGAACAGGTTCTGGAATCTCAGCAAAATATGTATCTTGATCATTGATGATTTTACAATAATTTCACAGTTTTATCTGAGTGATAGTTTCTTTTTGAGTGAGTTTTCTAATCTCCACGGTTTTAGTTTCTGACAACCTATTGCTGTTTGATCATGATTATTTGTGATAATTTGTACTCACACAACCGCAGGATTGGTTGGTTGGTTGGTTGGTTGGTTGGTTGGTTGGTTTAACACCACACTCAGCAATATTCCAGCTATATGGCGACAGTCTGTAAATAATCGAGTCTGGAACAGACAATCCAGGGATCAACAGCATGAGCACCGTTCTACGCAATTGAGAAACGATGGCATGTGTCAACCAAATCAGCGAGCCTGACTACCCGATCCCGTTAGTCGCCTCTTACGACAAGCATGGGTTGCTGAAGATTAATTCTAACCCAGATCTTCACGGGTCCACAACAATAGGACCACAACACAGAGATTTACCCTAGTCTCCATATTTGACATCCTGTAATGTATTGTGGGTGTTCAAGACATGTATCTGTTACTAGGGTGACCAAACTTATGTTAGGAAACAAAAGAGAAACGTTTGTGACACTTTATACTTATTGTATACAGGGATTTCTTTGTCTGAATCCAAGACTTGAATCAAATCACACCTGGACTGTCAGAACACTGAACATTCTTATTAGAACAGCCCTGTGGGTATTCCAGGGAGGAAGAAAGATCCCCAGCTAATTGTGCTTGTTGTAAGAGGCAACTTAGGGGATCTGGTTTTCCGGTTCAGTGACTCGCTGGAATGTGTGTCATTATATCTCTGTTGTGTCACTGTTTGCTCTGCGGGTCTGGCCATCGATCCATGAGATCAATAATCATTAACATTATATTGATCAATTATCAATAAACATCAGAGGACTAATGGTGAGTAAACATGTAGAAATGTCAGAAAGACGCTAATATATTTCATATTGTTAGTCAGCTGTGCCATATGTAAGTATAGACTACTTTCAGTTGCTTTCCATCTTTCAGCAATTGACATGGTTGTCAATAAGAAGTCTGTTTTGTTACATTTAATCATTATCTGATCACAAGAGTTTATGTAGGGTATTATCCATGACACACTCTTGAAATGGGTAATTTCCTTTTGTAGAAGGAAACCTGTATGGCATATTTATTCAATTATATAAAACAAAGTGAAGCTATGAAATTTAATTTAAAATGTGTTAAATTTTGCATTAACATGTTGTACTGAATCGTATAACAAAACCTCACCATTAAAAGATAGATCTCTGTAGTTATGAACTCAAAGTTTAAAGCTGTTTTATACATGTACATTGTGTAGCTCAATATAGAATCTGAACGTTGTTTCAACCAGTGGCTCCAAGCTTCTAATGGCATTTGAAACAAATTGAAACTATTTGAAAGAAGTTCAGTCTCACTTTGTTATTTTTATGTTTGTTTCATTGTCAGTTTTTCTCTTAGTTATATATAAAGCAGGATCAGATTATCAATTTATTATTTCATTTTCATTCAAACATCATTTCTTCCACATTCTGAATGTTCAGGGACTATAAACAATATGCTAAATTGGACATACAAAAAAGTAGGTGAATTCTGTTTCAACTGTCTATCTATCTATAGTTGCTACAGTTGTTGGTTGTTGTTTAATGCCGCACTCAGCAATAATCAAGCTATATGGCAGCGGTTTGTAAATAATCGAGTCTGGACCAGACAATCCAGTGATCAACAACATGAGCATCAATCTCAGAAATTGGGATGCGATGACATGTGTCGACCAAGTCAGCGAGCCTGACCACCCGATCCTGTTAGTCGCCTCTTATGATAAGCATGGCTTAATGAAGACCAATTGTAACCCAGATCTTCAAGGGTAGACATGCTACAGTGAAGCACATCAAGCAACATTTGGCTGCTTATTAGGATTGGAACCGGAACTGAAGATATGCTACAACCATAAACAGGGTTTTACACAGACTTTGAAAAAAGAGAGTCATGGTGACCCACAGTATTTATTTTTGAGTCATTTTCGATATTTGGGAGTTGTGAAACTTTTAGCGTAATACTTATGTGTGTATATCAAAAAGCAAGAGTTTTGCAAAGATTTTATATTTTTGTGTTGTATTGTCATTTTTATGTTAGTTAATAAATAGTATATTTTTCACTGTTCAGTTCATTCATAACAAATTCCAGTATACTGAACACATAATCAGGCTTGTGATTTATTCACTGTAACATACAGTTATTAACATGAATTGAAAGAAATATCTAAATTAATGAAGACCTCACAAAAACTATCATTGTTTGCTATCAAATCGATTTTATTGACTCTGAACTGAATTCGGAGGATCAGTCATAAAACTTGCGTCAAGCTTGACTCGTACAATAATATTTTGAGAGTCTTTAACAAAATTGTTGCGTCAAATACGCAGGATCCCGCGTCATGTAAAACCCTGCATAAAGAAGGCCATGTTTGTCGTCAATGAAATACAGATTTGTTATCATTTTTATCTGTTTTATTTATAATTGTTATTTCTGAAAATGAATGACAAACACAACAAGAACAAACCGGGATACCTTATGTCATTTTATTGCCCCCAAGTTCTCACAGGTGAAGATAACTGCCAAGTTGCTGACATGTTAACATGGTTACATTGAAGCTGAGACTAGGCAGATTGGCAGTCCTGTCAAAATTGTT